GGGAAAGAGAAACCTTCCCTTCTTATACTCACCAGCATTCATGACACAAATGGCCCGGGTGGAAATGAAGTAATGAAACAGAACCAGGTGTTCTGGCCCCCACGTGATAGCAGCTGCACAAAAAAAAGGGTAGCCCTCTTCAGTGCCGGGTCTGTTGAATCCTGCATCTCCCGGCTGGCACACTTGGACACGTTCCATACAGGATCGGGTCTTTGGTCCATCAAGTGCAGCATGCTTCCTGCATGCAGCTCACGCTTGACACCAGAAGGGGCTAGTGTTGAAGAAGTATATATGCAATGTGTGTGGGCATATGCAGCCTCACCCGTTTCGTCTTATGGAACACGAACCCCTCGATATGGGATGAAGTCAGCGATGCCAGGGCAATAAGGAAAACGGAAAGGAATGAGGCTCCCATTTTAACCATTTTAGGGACATTGCTTGTATATTTGAGGGTTTGGGGCTTGCAGACCAGTTCACGAACTGTGCAAAAATGCTGCAGCGCAGAGGTAGGATAAAGCATAGTCTTATAAACACGAACGTTCAAGTTCTCCAGCAGTCTCGACCCAAAGTGTTAGAGATGTAAAAGATTTCGTGTAATTGCTTTAGCAGCTGCAAATCCACCACATCTCCCTTAAACACCTGGAGTGGGTGCAACCCCACGTAACCTGCAGGAACAAAATCAAGAGGTTTATTGTAGAAGTGCCCAAACCAAACAACCAGGATTCACATGCCCCCAAACTCTGAGGTGGATCCTGAAAGTGGAGCCAAACTTCGCAGCTTCAAATAAACTGCTCATTTCCGAAAAACACTTGTTCTCTTCCTCCTTCATTCATAGACAGGTTGAAGGTGGCAACATAAGGTCTAAAAGCCAGGCTGGGATTTAAAAAAATACCTCTCCCTTTAAATGCTAGACTGAAATGCACTTTGGATTCTTATTACTCAGAAGCAGCTGTGATCGCCAAGATGGCATCGTCTAGAAATCGGAGATTGAAGTCGGCCTCCAGAGCTCGTCTGTCTCACTGACTCAACTGTGCAGATGTCGACAAAAGTCGCTTCATCTGTTCTACCTTCATTTCCCTACCTGCAGGCAGAGGTTTAGTCGGTATTGGTAAATCACTTTTAGACCCTCGCGAAGGAGACCGGACAAAAGTGCCAGGTGCTTTCACTAATAACAGGGTGCTGACCTGACATCGCTGAGGGCATCTCACCTAGACTGTCTGTACAAACTGGTTTGAGCACTATGAGCAGGAAACGCTTCACCCACCATCAGAACGGAGCTACTTCTGCAGTGGAAACCGGGGTCTGCGTAACAGCGCCGAGTTACACAGGAGGCACGCTTGAAACAGCAGGGTGAACTGGCGGGTGGCATTTATGATCGGTAGGGAAAATAACTTCCTTGTGCTGCTAGATCGGGGGTGAACTGTGTATGATTGCAATATCCCTGAAGGAACAGCTCTGTTGGCTGGCCTGGTGCTGTCCTAGGCCTAAAACTGCTTTCTCGTCTTGCAGTACTAGTCAACACCACCACTGTTCCCCTGGTTTAATGCCTGCCAGACCATCCCACACACCTCCCAGGCAACAGGTTAAGCTCTGCCTACGTGGCGGAGAAGGTCAGTACGAGCTCAGATCGGCATCTCTGCCAAACAGAAGTCGCGCTCTCTTACCGTTCAATGATGCTGTTGTTCAACTGGAGATCACAAGTTACTGATTTCATTTGCTCCAGAAGCTCCTGCATTCTGCACAAGACACAAATGAGCCTCTTAGACACATGCCTCCTCCTGCTGAGAGGCCTGGGGGGAGAGCTTCCTGCAGGAAGGCAGCGAAAACTGGCAGAGTAGATTAAGGAGGGCAAAGCACTCCCCAACTCTCAGGCTTCCCCACGCGTTGTTCTGGGTAGCAAGCAGCTACTCTGGAGTTCCCTGCCTTTCTTCTGAGAGCCTAACAGGACCTCCCACCCCCAGCCCTCCCTCATCACCGCAATCCTGTACACCGGCAGGAGGCAGCAAGTTAGCTCTGCATGTCCTGAGCTGCAAACACATCACAGCCAGGGCTTCCAACAACATGGGCACATGCAAATAAAACACCTTCACTCCTCCAGTTTAGCACAACCCAGCTCTGCTCTGCTGCCTGAATTTAAAGAGTCACATGAGCAGTCTATGTATAAGTGGTTCATAAACAGCTAATAAATGGTTACTAGGGATTTTAATTCCTAGCTCCTCAATCGTAGAGGTCGCTGACAAGTCTAAACAGCTTTGGCTGATGTGCTAACAACCATATGAAAACACACATGAAAAATTCACATGCTTAGGACATCTACTAACCAGTTATAAATGGAACTTAATTATTAAGTGCGACCGCAAACGCACACAGGGCTGGCACCCGTCCCTGGCATCAGCATAACACATAGCCAGGCTGTGGGGAAGCTTGGGTCTCAAGCCTATCCCTTTTGAACATCAGAGAACCACCTTGGCGTGAGGGATGCAGTAGGGACCTCTCTCATTGATGCCCAATCTGTTCCGGCTGCCTCCTACAAACTTACCTAAGTGCCATACCCTGTTCGGTGTCTTGTGTGTAAACTGGTAGAGGAGCGGAAGGGACCTGGACTCTCTGTGGCAGCCTGTCCAAAGCCTGCAGAGATAAAGAGACTTGACGCTGCTGCAGGTGATGTGCTGTGCTCCTAGGTCTACATCTCGGGGCAATGCCATGTATTCAACTCCCCTCCCGCCCTCAAAGCTGGAGCTTTTAAAGGGGATGTGGGAGGGTAAGTGCTGCAGGAGAACAACGTGTGGAGAAATGATGGTCGTTGCAGGCACCTCTCCCTGGAAACAGGGTAAGAACAGCAGATGGACCAGGACACATTGTTTCTGCATCATAAAGCATCCTAAAAATACAAGCCCGAGCCCCATGTTCATCACTCCTGGTATTTCCTGTTTACTACAGTATGAAGCAACTATTGCTGCCACACAGAAGGCACTTGGGTCGAGGTGCAGAGTCTTCCAGGGGAGATGAGGCACTACATTCCCAGCTCAATCCGAGATCAGGACATGACACTCCATCAGCTACAGAGAAATCCAGCAAAGTATTAACAAAAGGCCCAACCACGCAGAAGCTGTGCCGGTCAGCCTAGGTGGTGGTGCCTGCAGGAAATCACAGATGGTGGCAGCGTTTGAGATACAAGCCAAGTACTTCTACTCCCTTGGATCGTTGCTTTGCTTGTTAGCTGAAACCTAATTTTCCACAAATCGCGGTAAGGCGGGACAGCATCAGAAGCCAGTGGTACGAGGGCAGGGATAGCAGCCTTCTAACCCAAGCCTTGGCGCGTAAGGGGGATCTAGCTGTTGCTAGACTGTGCAGACATATCCCAGGCTGGCATCAGCACTGCTGTGTTACTGTACAACCTATTAGTTCGCCCACATCACCACCCAAATAGGATCACCCTGCTTCTAGTCCTGAAGCTAGCACACACGGTGCAGGCACGGGTATCTGCACGGCGCTATTTTGTGCCAGGCGCACAACTCCCAACTCACCACACGACCTTGGGGGAGCCATTTTGGGGTCAAAGTTTTAAACACGCTTAAATGACTTTGGACCCTCAATCCCACTGACTTTTCACAGCATCGCTCACTTCGCTTCTCCGAGCTGTCTCTTTTCCCCACCTGTAAAATGGAGACTACTGCTACCACCCGACTTGCACCAGGGAGACTTCAGGAACACTTGGCAGATGACAAGTGCAAGGGAACAGCTGTATTAAAAACAGTCTATGGGTGATATTCAACTCCCAAGCAGATAAGATTTAAAGAAAGCACTGTACGTTATGGAGGCAGTCCCAGCACTCAGTCAGCTCCACGCAGCCTGCTGACAAGGAACTGTCGAGCTTCTTCAAATGTTTTTTTATCTCGCAAACTTTCCTGTTGGGGAAAACAGAAAAAGTCCAGTCAAAGATTTGGCAGGAATAGGGATTTTTTGGCTCTTCTCCCCACGCAATTGGCACGGGGTCACTAGACTCAGTACTAGCCCACACACCCAGGGTGCTGAGATCCCAGAATATGGCATTATATACAGAAGCAGCAGCAGAAACACGCCCATTACTAACAGCTTCATTAGGGTGCTTCATGTCAAGAACCTGTTGGCAGGCTTGTAAGCAGGGGGATAGAAACCAGTAGGGACCAGTGCGATGGGACCAAGATCAAAGGAGCCATCTAGTGGACTTGGAGGAAACATCACTGCTATATAAAGAAGCTGTAATCAGTTTTGTTCTGGCTTCAAAAAACAAACAAAAAAACCCAAACTTGAAGTGTGCAGTCTACCTCCAAGGCCAAAAAAAGACCCATTGCATGACAAAACCCAATCCACTAACTAGAACAAAACTCAAAACAAGGCAATTAAAAATGAAAGAAAAATAAAATTAAAAACCTCTCCATCCTCAAAACAGCAAACCTGCAAGGGCAGAAACACACACACAAAAATACCCTTCAGGTATTTTTAAGACACCATTACACAACTTCCAGTTTTGTACACTTAAGCCTAACTGGAACTTACGTGCTGGATGGACCTGGGAGAAAATTCCCACTGAAGGCACTGGGAGATGGGACCAGTATAAGAATAATGGATCCTAGCTTGGAGTTGAATACAAGACTTTCTCTCCCAGTCATTGAAATGCAGCCACTTCTGTGTTGCAGGACTGCAGCAAGGCAAAGTCGTTCGACACAACAGACTTCACAACAGTGAAGTGAATCGGACAGACAGCAAGACGGGACACCAAGGCAGACTCTCGCACCTATGCATGCTGTCCTATGCTCTTTGAGGTCCACCTCCAACAGACTAGTTCCACTAATGAAGCCTTGGCCTACAGGTTCCCTGAACAACAAATCTCATGAAGCTCTGCTGGCTGGGATGATGTAGTTGGGGCTGGTCCTGTTTTGAGCAAGGGATTGGACTATGTGACCTCCTGGGATGCCTTCCAACCCTCATTTTCTGTGAGTCTACTGCATCCTGGATGCCCAAGCCAAGCCCCAGACAAATTTTAATACTAAAAGGCTATTAAAAAAAATCCACATTTAGGTCTTGAGGGTGGGGGGAGATGCTCTACTTTACTTTACTCTGCAGTTGAAGTCCTATCTCTGCAACAACTGCTTCTCCTAAATGACACTTTTTTACTCTAATAAGCCAGTATGTGGCCTTCGGTCACACACAGCCATTTGTTCTTTGCATTATTCCCCAAATACCCTTTAGCATAGAGTCATTCCTTGTAAGTGGATCTCTGTCTTAACGGCAGTTTCAGCCTGATGCCATGAACCCTCCCGATCGCTGAATAAAGAAATGGACCTTCTGCAGTGCAGTGAAGGTGATGATGGTTGGCTTTGGGTGGGATGGTTGGCTGGATTTCTTTTAATGCTGCCCCATCCTGAAGTGGCAGGAGCAGGGTCATCGATATCAGTCCTCTTCTCTGCTCCAACTACTCGCTTGCTTCAAAGACAGAGAATGAATTTCCCTTTCCTCTCCCCCAGTGTTGCACCTTGGTCCTGTGCTTTGCATTATTGGAAGTGAAACCTGTAAAGACTTAGGTGCAGGCTTAGCTTCAAACACAGGCATAGCCCCGTGGCTGTGGATAGGCCTGTTCCTGGTGTGTCCGGGGAGGCTGGTGCAGGAGTAAAACTCCCCAAGAGCAAGCTGTCTGCATGCATGCATCCCTGGGAGTCATTTGCTGAAGGCAAACAGATATTACTTGCCACATGCCTGCTGGCAAGGCACAAAAAGAGTCTCCTGCTGAGCACAGCTAGCCTGGGAGAGCTGCAACTCTGTCTATGCCTCACTCTGGTATCATTTACATCGCTATAAAACCTACCTAAGTCACCCTGGGGTAAGCGTTCATCTCCGTCCGCATCACGGAAAATGCCACGTAGCTTGCCACGGACATTCAGAATCCAGGCACCTTGTATAAAACCCAGGGATACGACTGAAGAAAGGCTGGTTTATTGATCCCGGCTATTACCTCATTCTGTTTCCATGACCACCCAGGACATCTTGATATTTCTGTACGCAATCATCCTGGAAAATTGATATAACTTTTCTTGCTAGATGTCCTAGATTCAACCTAAAGATGTCGGGAGAAAGAAGAGGAGGAAGAAGGGAGTGAATGGTATTTCCCTATAATAAACCATGTTCAGGTAACACAAGGGTTGAGGGTGCAGCAACAGACAGACAACACGTTATAGGAAAAATGGCATACAAGGGAGATTTTCCCCTCATGCCTTCTATATTTAGGAGCACAAGTCACTGAAACCAACACAGCTTGTGCGTTTCAATGCCTCCAGCACTGCTGAAAACCTCAGATTTCAAGTCAAGTCTAATGTGCGTGCCCCTGGCTTTGTTAGGATAAAAATCAATAGAGGGTTAAATTCTGCTGTTCTAGGCAAGCATTTAAAAACGTGCTCAACTTCAGGCATGTCGAAGGCCCCTAGGTTTCAATGAGATTTCAGTGGAGACTTTAAAGGCACAAATGCCATTTAGGCATCTAAGTCCCACTGTAAGTCGAGCATAAGCTTAGCAATGCCCCTGAATTGGGATCTCTGTGCATAGCACAGACACTGTATCCTTGGGGTTACTGTGGTCAGTTTATGCCATTATTGTCCATTATCATTTGTCAGTACCGTGAAAGCTCTCAAGAGCACAGTAGGGATCGAGCCCATTATAGCAAGCATTGTACATGCACATAATTAAAGAAAAAAACAACAAACCAGTCCCCGCCCCAAAGATCTTACACCTCAACACATTCACACTGGGGCTCCTTGCACCTTCTCGTCTGTAACCTAAAGACAGCTACTGTGAAAGAGCCTGGATTGATAACCCGATTGACACGGAAATCATTTACAGGCCAGACACTCATACCACCGATAAAGAGCATTTAAAACCCCTCTTGGATGCAAACAGAAATGCCAAACATCCAGCCAGCCTCTTAACCACAAGCAGGTGTTTCAGACGCTGGAAACAAGGGGGCTATTTACTTACTTATCCAGTTTGTGTATTTGTTCCTCATTATAGGCCAGCCCTAGGAAAAAAAAAAATGCATGTACACTGGTAACTTGCCAGGAAAATGTATCCGGAGCTTCTTCACTCACGGGCTGATAAATGGAAGCAATAAAGACGCCCAGCTATATCACAGCACCGTAAGGCATCACTCAGGAAGAATGATACAGCTGGGATTTTCCAACAGAGCTCAAGTCAGTAGGAGTTAGATGCCTGATTCCCTGAGACCCCTTTCAAAAGCCCAGCTATCCTGCCACCATATGGGCAGCAGTAACACACAGAAGATCAGCTATCATACATAGTCCTCACTCACCAGCAAGAACAAATCACAGGCTGGCTCCATTTTCCTTCAGCACTCTGACTTTCCAAACACTAGGCCTGTATCATTTAAGAAAGAGGCAGCGTGGCATAGAAGAGGGCACCTAAAATGGGGAGCTGAAAATCTGTAAGCTTTAATCTGTGCCCCAAGAGCGACCCACTGCACAGTACAGTGCAGACATGCCTTGACCTAGCTCTAAACAAGAAGCAGGATGCATTAGTCCAAGTGGAGCGCAGTGCTAACGTGGCTGCACTGGTCTAGTATCCAAGGTCGCTCATTTAGAGGTCTCCCAGGTATGTCTGCACAGCATTGCACTGTGCTAGTAGATGCAGCTCTGTGCGTCTACACTAAGGCTACCACCGCTGTGTCAGTTAAGGGCACGGTATTTTTCCCCCCCTTAATACCGTTATGCCAGCAAACTGATGCAAAGATTAACTTGTCACCTTTGCCTGCAAAATGGAAATCGCATCCTTTACCTTCCTCACAGGGTTATGAGGAGGATTAGACCTGCACGAATCAAGGCAAAGTGCTGTATAAATGGTGCAGTCTAGTCTGCATAGATTTGCCCCGGCGTCAGCCAGGGAGGAGACAAGAACCTAAGTACTGGGTCAGACCCAGGACCATCTAGCCCAGTACGCTGTGCCCAACAGTAGCAGGAGTGGATGCTTTAAGGGAGAGCACTGAACTGGGTGCATCTAAAATGATCTGTCCATTGTCAGACCCTCCCTGGCATCCACCATCATTGGTTTAGCACCCCTGACTGTTGTTCTCTTCTATAGCTACTAATGAACGTAGAGACATCCCCTAAGTGTAGACAGACAGAGCTGCTAAGAACTGAATCCAGTTGGTGCATCTTCCAGGTAAATCCGCTGAGGACGAGCGGGTCATGGTCTTGCTTCGCACTGGATGGACATGCTGCTTTTCTGTTATTTCGCTGCGCGGCTGCCCCGGAGCCGTGTGAAATGTGATACTGCAAACGTGAGCTACTTACGCATGCACGCCCTGGCCTTCTTGAACTGCTTGTGTATGAGCTGCATCTTCTCAAGGCAGCACTCCATCTGCCGGATGCTGTGGAGTCAAGGTGGGAAGCTGGGCATGAGGCACATTGGGATGGAAAGCAAGTGTCCAGTGAAACCCCGCTGCAAAAGAGGGGCGAAGCCTGCAGAAACCTATTTCTCTGACGCTGGAAAGGTGGTGTGGCCTACGAGACAGCGCTAGGCTGGGACTTATCAGGCCTGTACTGCCTTCCCAGCTCTGCCACTGCTCTGGCTGATTACCTTGGTCAAGTCACTTGTCTTATCCACGTTTCAGCTTTCCCAGTTGTAAAAAAGGGGTATGGGTACGACCCCCCCATCCCTTTTGTAAGGCACTTGGAGATCTACAGATCCCAGGTGCTAGGGATCACTCCCACTTCAGCAGGGCTCAGCGACCTGCAATGGGCGCCTGAGTAGAAAACCTCAAACTGAGTCATGAAGCAATGGGTATTTAGGGCCTCGTGTCCAAGAAAACAGCTTGGTTGTCAAACCTCCCCAGAGTCCTGCTCCAGCGGCCTCACTGCCCCCCACACAGCCCCCACAGTCTCCTGCTGACCTCATTGCCACCTACAGCCTTGCTCCTTTTTAGGTCTGGCCTTCTGCCCAGTCCTCCCCCGCCGCCGCCTGGGTGCTATAGCTGTTAATTCATTTGCTTGGAGTAGCTTCCTTTGCTCCATGCACCTCAGAGCTGCTTCCCTCCCAACCTCACGGTCTGCCTTTCACTTATTATTGGATTCACCCGCCAAGAACTGTGTGACACTTCGCGTGACAGAAGCTCTACAAAAACGAAGCTGCATTGTAAACTAGTCTCAGAATAAACAGCAAGTACCTGGAAACACACAGGCTTCTGGGTGCAATCGTTTCTGATGGCTCCACCTCCTCGAGAAAAACTCAGGCCCTGGCTTTATGAATACCAGAAGACAGTCCCTAGCGCTCTATAATCCAATGAACTGGCAGCCTCAATGCAAGCATTAGGTAATAAAGATAAAGCATCCTTATGATCAAGTGCCACCAGAGAGCCTGGTAGCTGACTGTCCAAATACAACCTACTGCTCTATCACTTAGATGCGAGCTTCTGCTGGAAGTCGAGATTGAATTGTTCTCACAGCAGAAAGGGAAACTTGTTCCATATAAGCGCATCTGGCATTAAGTCAGCCCATCAGCAAGAGGAGCAAGGTTAAAAGGCAGCACAGACCAGTGAGTAGGGCTCAGGACTGGGAGCCCACAAGTCCTGGGATCTAATCTCAGTTCTGTCACCAACTCCTTTCCCCCTTTAGGGAGCGGGGGGAGAACCGGTGAGGAATGCAAAAGCCCTGCTGAGAGATGTGGTGGTAGTTTTTAACGTTTTAACGCCCCCCACCACAAGTCTAAGGGATGACACTTTGGTAAAGTGCCGAGATGCTCACAAAAGGAAATGCTGAAGTGCTGCGATCAGGATTACTGATCGCACCACGATTAATATGAATTGCTTTGCGCTTAAGTGCAAAGTAGCGGCATACTGACAGCCTACCACAATGGTATATACAGTAAACCACCAACGTTAATCAGCACAAATGCAAATGCAGGTCATGTACTGTAGCTATAGCTGTCCATTTGTGTGCGTCTATGCAAACAGATGCCTATGAAAATGTTATGACACTTAAAAAAAAGCTTATGCCACAAACCTTCTATCTTCTTGTGCCTGCTGCCGGTGATTTACCAGCTCAGATAAAATATCACCCAATGTCCCTTGATATTCAGAGATGCTGTGAGAGTACCTAAAGAGGTCTTCAGTGACCTAGAGGATGAAGCGGGGAGGAGGGGAAAAAGGTCCAGGTCAGGTACCGCCATCGAAATCACAGACGGTACCAACCCCATCCCCAGGGTGCTCTCAGCCCTGCCATCCAAGGCCCAAACCTGGATCTTTGTACTCACCGTTTGCAGCCTTGCTTTCACCTCAGCCAGGTCCTTCAGCTCTGGGTTCCCATTGCTTCCAGATACAGATTCATACCTGTTAGAGATGGGAAACCAAAGCTCATTAAAGAAGGGTGTGGATTCAGAGAGGCAAATATCATCTGGGCAAAGGAAAACCATGCTGTTAGGCTGGAAGCTTCAAAGGCACCTGGGAGACCGAGACATACAACTCCTACTGAAATTAATTGAAATCGTGCATCTGAACCACCCCTAGCAGCTTTGAAAATATGAGCCTTGCAGCAATTCAAAGAATAATTTAAAAAAAAAAACCACAATGATTTTTCACTAAATAGATGGTAGAACAAAGAGACAAGAACAAAATGACTGAGGGTGGGTTTTAGATTTCACTGGAGCGGCAGCAACAGTAATGGAGGCATTTGGTAGTTATTAGGATCACACAAGACTTCTCTGTAATTTGGTCTCTGATGAATGTTCCATTAATGGAGCCTCTTAAATGGAAATAAAAGACACTTCAGTATGAATAGTGTGGTCAGGCTGGATGCATTGCTCAGTGGAAATGCACCGTAATGGGCTACAATCCTATAGTTAGAGATGGCAGAAACCCATTAAGTCATCCTGGTCCAACCCTCACAGCCAATGCAGAAGAGCTCCTCACAAGAGACTCCCCAGGGCTTTGCACAGTCGGGTTCTAAAAGACGGGGGCTCTGGGATCCCACGCACCCGCTTGGGAAGAGCCCGCCCTGGTCCGACAAGCCTCACCCTGGGGATTACACTAATGGTAATGGCAGTGCTTATTTTGTTGATAATGAAGGGGAAGGCTTCTCTTTTCCACGTGCACCAAGACAGAGACTGCGGCACTGGTTTCTGCTTTCTCTCTCTGACTTCATGTCTGTGGCTAAGATACGTTAGCTGTACCCTGTAATATTCAGTCTGGAAGATCCCAGAGCAGCAGCCAGGCAGCAGGAACTGCAGGCTCGTATGAAACTGGAGACGAAGAATTAAAAATTGAAGCAAAAGGGTGGAAAAAATGAACAAACTACCGCCCAGTTCGCTCATTCCTGCCCACCCTCTATGGACGAGGACAACCTTTCTGCTTTCCAGCTCTGGGTCTCCCTTCCACTGCACCTCCATATTCTGGGGTATGATGGCTACAAGCAACTAGCAGAAGCTGACAAGATCCACCTGCACAAAGCAAGACCATAGTCATCCACTTAGGGAATATAATTATGCAGTCTAGTGGCAGAGCTGGGTATATAACCCCCATCTCCTGCGTCCCAGGCAATGAAATCTCTGTCATAAGAGACCACTGCCAAAGGCTGCCTCGCAGAATGACTGGATCCAGTCCTGTGTGGACTGCCAGGCACACTGCCAGCCAGCAGCAGCAGTTTTGGTGATCTCAGCACAGAGGACCAGGATCAAATGAGCCAGGGACTGAATCACTCGGAGCATCTGAGAGGAAGGCACGTTAGCCAGGGACTGCAGTGATATGATTGCACTGTTTACTGTCTCCGCCATGCTCGCTCTGGGTATAATAAAAGATCTCGCGCTCTTCAAGGCTGGCAGCTGAGTTCCCTGCTCAGCAACCCCTGGGATCTTGTGTTTTGACCCCATCCCTCCCTCTTCATTTGTTTGTCCAATGGGCCGTTTGTTGCGGTCTTGGCAGGGCCTGCTCACCCTCCTAGGGTTTAGAGAGGCTGGTACCTTCCACCCAGACCTGCTGCACCATTGAGACGCCCCCAACAAATCTCTCCCACACATGGGAGCAGTGCATCTCTCAGTACAAAAGGTGGAAAACTCATGACAGAAGAGTCATAAAAGAGCGCAGCCTTTGGGTCAATACATTAATAAGGGGTCACAGGAGAGACTCCCCACTCCAGGGCCTGGGGGCTTCCAGCTGAGTTTTATAAAAGCCCTTTAAAAATGCCTGAAAAGCACAAATCCCAGCAACCTCCAGCAGCACTTGTGTTCTGAAGACACCAAGATGCTCTCTCAAATTCCCACCCCTAATTCCTAATACACTGACAACTACAACAGCCACTCTGTGAGCTCCCGTGGCAAAGACCGGATCTGCAAAGAGAAATGGTGTGAACTCCTCACCCACCGTGTCACCTTGCGTAGCTCAGAGCAAGGCTCGCACGTATGAGAGCTCTGGACAAGGGCCTGTGCTCTTCATTGCCACAAAACCGACAGCAGTAAAGCAACACTTACACCATCAGGGTCTTCTCGTTGGTATGCTGCAAGCAGGTCAGCATCAAAACGGCTGTTTCCTTCCTCTCCAGAAACTTTGAGCACTCAGATTTGAGGCTCTCGCTGCCAAGAGACAGAATTCGGGGTTGGGCAGCTTTTCCTTTAGCAGCCTCATCTCCTCCACATTTTCTACAGAGCTAGTCTGTGTAATGCATTTGAACTTCCCTCTGACCAATCTACCGTGTCAAACGTATGCCTGATGGTTTCCTTTCACTGTTCATGAAAACCAGGGGTGGAAAGTGCTTGTTAGAGCATAGTTCTCATCTACCTGATACTGAGGCCTGGTGTGCTGTATATACCTATAGGGAGAGTCAGTCCCTCCCCAGATAGCCGAAAGCCCAAATAGGTAAGATCTTACACCAGCGCTTTAACACTGGGATATTCATTAGCGTGCCCAGAAGTAAACTGAGAACTTTTGACCCGACAGGAACCGGCCGTGAGAACACAGCGCCTGAGATGCCATTTGAAATGCCACTGGAATAAAACTCTGTAGGTAAAAGTATTCAGGTGGGTCCAACCCTCGCCCCACCCCTGCCCCCACCCTCAGTCCCTACAGCTGAAAGAAGAGCTTTAATTGCTTTCTGTCCGACATGTAACATTACACACACACTTGACTGATGTTGCAAAGCCTTGGTGCCTACACAGCGGCTCTGCAGGGCTTGGAACGTGTCTGGAGTATCCTGCTGGCTGCATGCATTTAAGTGCTGCTGTTCTCAAATATAAGAGTGACTACACAAAGGCAAAAGAAACCAAATGGCTCCCACTGCCCTTCACAGACTGCCTGTAGGTACGCACTTACATCACACAGTGGAGCCCCCTCAGGATAAACTCTTGACATTTCAGAAGCGACCGGGCTATCCTCAGCGTCTGGTGAACTGCACCGAGGACACCCTGGAATGCAAAAGAGCCCCCGACACTGAGCGCTCGGGAGCTCGTGCGCGCCACGTCCAACCCCTCTGTCTGCCCAAAGCAGGAGCCCCACACGTACCTTTGCTATGCTGCAGTCAGCTATGACATCAACCTTCGGGACAAACTTTGGGAAGCCGTGTGCCGCTGAAAGCAGAGACAGTGCTTAGGTCTTCATGGCTAAATTGACCATGTCCCCAACAGCCACAGCCACAGCCACATTCGCTTTATTAGCAGAAACGTTCGCTTGCCCTTTTAGTTCAGCGAATCAACACTGACATCTTGTGCTCACTTTGGTGAACCACGGGCACTGCACCCTCCCCTGCCCAGCCACAAAAGGCCCCTTCCTCTCTACTGATTTTTGCTCTAATCGTCTGCACCACTGCAGTGAGGATCCACAAGAAACACTCACAGCCTCCGTCTAATGGGCACGCGTTGAAAGCATGAACATACACGTGACATACGCAAGTCGGAAAATTAGCTCACAAAAACTCAGCTGGCTGCCCAGGAAATGCAAGGGTACATCCTAAAAGCTAACTGTACTCACGATCTCTGTATCTCACTCCTATGGGATCCTCTGTTTCAGTGCTCAGCAAAGTCAGAGGGCTATTTTGCGTGGTCCTGGAGAAATTTTGGGCTTGGAGGTTGGGTTCCAAGTCATATGGGTAACCTTCAAAAAAGTATTCTTGATGGTGAGGGGCTGTATTTGTTTGCCTGAAGACAGCATCTAAAAATATGTTTGTACTGAGACAAAAAAAAAAAAAAAAGAGGAAGGGAAATGAGATGAAGTCATCAGCACCCAAGATCTTTTCATCCCCCCTAAATCCTAATCTTAGCCATTCACCAAGGGAAATTCAGCTGAGGTCCAGCAGCTGCTTTCTAGGAGCATGCAGCATTGTTAGGTCACCTTCATATATTTGCTCATATTCCCACTGCCCCAGCACAGCCTGGTGCCTTTCACCTCAAAGCATTGTGGGGCCGACGCAGGACCCAGGGAAATCAGTAGCAGCGTTTCCGTTGACCTCACCAGGGTTGGCTCATGCCCAGTATAAACCGAACACACACCCTAGAATTGCTTCCTCCTCTGTTGAAATGCAGCCGCCACTGGAGAGGGCGGTAGTAGGGCAGGGGACAGCACTGAAAAACTACTTCCAGATAACATGAGTCCACAAAGAGAGCCTGGCTTGGATGCGTGGGCCTCGAACACCACCCCTGTTTTCCACAGAGGCTTTCCAGCAGGTTTGGCCAAGGTGCATAGCGAACAGGGATCTGTCCTTCAAGTCTCTGCAACAAGCCTCTAAGGGAAACTCTGGGCTGGGCTGCAGGACGTTGGGGCTCCATTCCCAGATCTTCCCCTGACCAGGCCTTCCCTGCAGGGTGACGGGGCCCTTACGTGTTGTGGGAGTGGATGAAGACCCGGTGCATGGTGGCTTGTGACAAGGAGAAGACATCGAACACTATCCTCTGCAGGATGTCACTGGTTTCTGCGAAAAACTGATCGAAGCCCCAGCATTTTTCCTGATCCACTTCCAGGATGTTGGCCAGGATCGGGACAAGCTGGCTTTTCAGCCCCCTAAATGGGCAGGAAAGATGAACAAGGTAGATTTACCTGTGTGAACAGACACGTATGTGTTGAAGGCAGGCAGCAAGAATCAGTAAAAGGACCCTGGACTGGAGACCTGGGGTCTATTCCCCAGCTCTGCCACTGATGTCCCTGTGACCTTGGGCAAATCATTTCCCCTTCCCTGCCCAGTTTGCCCATCTGTCAAACACAGATGACGCTACAACCCGCTTTTCGGAAAAGGTTTTGACATATGCAGATGATGTGTACCATGCCCCGCCAGGGGCCTGATCCCTTCCAGCCAGGGTACAAGGAAGCTGAATCCAGACTTGTAAGAACAAGTTGTGCAATTGTGCAACATTTGCTCTACACTTTCTGACACAGCTGAAAAGTTTCCCCAAGATGAGCCTGCCGCAATCTGTAGCTCGTGCTCTGTCATGAGGGATTCACTCAGTGTGCTCACCACAGCCCCAGACATTGGTCATCCCACATCCATGGGCTTGTCACATGCATGTCCCCACGTGCTCCGTTACCGTTTGGACTCTGCAAACGAATGAAACCCAGAACCCAGAGAGCTGGTTTTCCCTAATCTCCACTCTGAAAGGCTTGAGATTAAACAGAGTCACCGATCAGGCTCACAGGCAGGAAGAGGGAGACTGAATATAAACCTCTTCGGTATCCTTGAAGCCTCACCTTATAGCATTGGAAATGGATGGGAGGGCAGGGTTCTGCACCAGGTTAAGCAAACAGCCAGGCCTCAAAACCACCGATAGCCAAGTGGTTAGGGCACATCCCTTCCCCCCAAGAATTGAGACATTTTTCCTAACGGATAAAACTTGCTTTGGGTGAATCAATTGAGGAAAAAAAAAAATGTCACGTAAGAAAATTCCCAACCAGTCTAACCACTCCGGGTGCTCAATGCTGGGACATGCTCAAATTTAGATCAAGGCACAGAAGGGAAGATGCACTGAGGAAGCGGAGAGTTATGCTACCCAAGACCAACTACACTCTCCAAGGGACAGCTTGGAGAGCTCTCTCAGCACACATACTTATTTCATGTCTTATTTGTGGTAGTTTAATTTCATTCTTCCCTCTGGAAGGCACTATGAAAGGAGCAAGACTAGGGGAAAGGTGTGGGTAGCATACCTACACCCCCTTGAATTGGGTATCTTGAGAGCAGGCCATAATCAGATGCTTTTCTCTGATACAAGACAGAATTTCTGTGCCTAAGTCACTGGCGGGTTTGATTTTATCCATCAAGAACAGGAGGGGCTCTTAGAAAGGAGAGGCTACATGTCTTTCCACTGAAGCCCTGACTCCATCTCCTCAAATACTCACACAGAGAGTCGGCACGTGACAGGCAGCTCGTAACTCCACTCGATGGCCCCGTTCTCCTGCCTCTGGACACCTGAGATTGCTCCAGAAGGTTTCTGGGTTGTTATTTTATACCTATCAAAAACAAAATTACATGTATCTTCATTTGGGCAAATGGGCCACCTTGTGCGTTCCTGTTGCCCGGCTCGGCAACTGCAATGGTTAATGCCCAGGGGGCAGAGCCAGGGTGTAGCATGGATCAGCGGAGGAGAAAGCCAGACTTTCCAGGGAGGAATTTCCATCTAGAGAACCAGACTTGCAATCAAAAACAAAGAGACACCCACATCGTGCATGGACAACCAAGCCGATTAGCACAAGCAAGAGGCCGGGCATGCTAACGAGGCAGCTACAGTCCCACTCGCATGGACCTGTCTGCATCTGCAACTTGGCACTACAAATTTGTCGTCTGCTTTTGCAAGACGCGGTCCAGAACAACTGCCCCAAACAAGTGAAAACCCAATGAAAGGCAGCTGCTGAAAAGAAACCCCCGCAAGGTTGCCATCAAAATACGTGTGGGGGGAGGGAAGGAAAATAGTTAAAGAAACAGCATGAAAGTTTCAAGCTAAAAAACCCGGGCTCTGCCTTGTCGTTCAGTTGTTAAACCACAAAGCCACAGAGATGCCTTTCAAGGACAAAGGCCTCGTATAAGCGGAGGCAGATTGCTGATGGCAGCTCTGCCGCATTCCTCCACCAGATCCCGCGATGGGCTTACTCTACATGGGGCCCACTCAATACCAACGTGCTCCTTGACTAGGCGCCTCTGGAGGCCTAGGTGTCTGACCACCCAGTGCTATGGGGATATGGCAAAGATGGTCAATGGTGGGGACTGCCAAGAGAGAGCAGGTCCAGCAAAATCTTCAGCACCCAAAAATGTTGCCTTCTGTTTGGTTCTGGGAGGCCTTAGCTTATGGCCTTAAGTTATAAATGAGCTAAGGTGAATAATGCTGAACAGTCAATTCCACATTGGTAACAGCAGCACAGCGCAGGGCGTGTAGCTAAAATGGCAGGCCTGTGCCACAGGTATTGGCAGGTATCCGAGGCCAAAACAAAACCAGGGACAAAGCCAGGACTAGGAAAAAGATTCACGGACTGGGAGGCGCTGGCAGAGCTGCGAGGTGTCCTCAGGGCAGGAGACGCGGCAGAACCGGAGCGAGGTGCGCAGGCACAGCACCACATTAGCAGCAGGAGGGGGGGGCGTTGTTAGAGTTACACTAAACACACAAGCTGGTTCCCGAGCGCTTGTCCACGCCACGCTCCTCAAGTTGAGGCACAACTACATTTACCCCAGGCAGGAGGCAGAAAGCCCCCTCGGGCCCTGCCCTCTCAACAGATCGACCTACATGATTTCTTTGTTTCTGCGAGGTCCTCCGAAAGGGATGAAGGGGAGGCTGCCTGCGGCAGCGTGGTAAAAGGTCACCCCGATACTCCACAGATCTACAGTCACCCCATAAGCCTTTTGCTGGGGTTTTCTCAGAACTGCTCGTTCATACATGTCTGGATGCTAGTGGGATGAAGCAGAGGAAAGGCAGCGTAAGTGAATCCACTTTGATCAACAGTGGGGGCCCAGGTTTCAGAACTGGCTAGTAACAATGGGTGTCCTACCCAAGGGGTCAAAAAGGGCCCCGTCTTTCACAGCATGCTGAGAATGGGGCCTTTTTCCATTGGGATCCAAGAATTTGAGGCACCATAAATCACTCTCTGCTTTTCTTGGCTACAGAAAGTGAACCAGGAAAGGAATTTCTGCAATCAAAATACAGGGAGACAGAGAGGGGGCCCACGATTCGGCATGGATGGAGCACCGCACTGGGACTCAAGGGCCTGGATTCTCTTCCCCCCTCTCCCGTAGACCTGGCAGGTTGTGGAGACTGAGCTGCTGCTCCTCTGTGCTTATCTCCCCGTCAGCAATGCTGGTCTCCCCTGGGAAGCCTCCCAATATCCAAGGCTGGAAAGTGCTGCATGGAAGCGAGGTGCCGTGATTGTTTTATATGCTTAAGACAACATCAGCCAATGCTTCTACTGCTCTAACTCACTTATGTTACCAGGAACAACGCTTCCTTCCCACATGCCTCCTCATTCCCCTCCCGGCGTCCGGTCGGACTCACAAGATACTCTTCTGTTCCGTAGACAGACACAAACTTCTCGTCGTCGTCCAGCTCCCGAGCAGCCCCAAAGTCCGTGAGCTTGTAGACACTCTGCCCATCTTCCCCCATCAGCCGCATGATGTTTCCCGGCTTGATGTCTCTGTGGACGATGCCATTCTCCCGCAGGTGGTTCATGCCGGCCACTACGAACGCAACAGGGAGACTAAGCTTTTGTCTACTATGTGATCAGCTTCTCCGAGGTGGCGCAAACTAGAAACTGGGGAGCGCAAAGACTCTTGGCTCGGCGTTCAGGCACGGTGAGGCCAAGTGCCTTGTCAAAATTCAAGCATCTCTGCGGAGGAGCGCAGGGTGATGCTGCTGACAGGGTCAGCCCAACAACAGCTCTTGTGCAGCACACCCAGCTACCTCTGAACTGGCAGACCGGGGCTTTCAAGCCAGGGCTGTGAAAGCACTGCCCATTCATAACCCCATAAGTTAATTTTTCCAAGTGCAAGTTTATTGCTTTTTCCTGTTGGCGATGCCCGAGCTAACAGCTCCGAGACTCACCGACACAGTTCAGCACGATGAGGAACTCGGCCTCAGACAAGCCAAAGGCGTTTTCTGGATCTTCCAACATATTCAGCAAGCTCCCGCTTGAGCAGTACTCCATCACCAGCACCTTCTGCTTGCTGCTTCCCTGCGTTTGGGGACAGAGGCAAGAGAGAAGAGCCATCAGCAGGATCCTATGGCAGCAACCCACTGTGCAAGAGTTCTTGCGTGGGCAGCCGTGCCCCACACCCCTCCCAGTCACTGGGGTCCCTTCCTTGTCCGTCATGTCTACTGGGCTCTTCCCATCAGATGGAACAGACAGCCGCGTTGGAGCACACGGGCTGGAAAGGTAGCTCTAACACCTACATTGGACACAACATAATGCATCACAACTCTGAAAAAGGGATCTGTTGAATGGGCTAATCTAGCCTCATTCACTGGGAGAGGGAAGCAGCAGAGCCAATGGTTGCAGCACCAGGATAGCAGCCAGGACACGTGGGTCCTATTCCTCGCTGCACTGCTCAGCTGGTCTCTGGGCTTTAGTGAGCCACTTCAGCGCTTTAAGCCTGTTTCCCAGTCTGGACCGCCCCTCCTAGGTTGCACAGGTGCCAGTTGCAAGGGGTCTCGGGATGAAACAGCGGGGAGAGTTGGGGTGGGGAGAAGCGGCAATGAGACGACTTATTCAGCGTGAGCTGGCCCAGGCCAGTGCCACGTGCTGCAAAGCCACGTCGCCCCCATTTAGGCATGAGGACACACTTACGGCCTCTTCAATCGCGAACAGTTTGACGATGTTCTTATGATTTAATTTCCTCAGCACCTCGAACTCTCTCAGCTGAACCTCTTGGGGTCTCATGTAGCTGGCATTATTGAAGACTTTCACAGCAACCAGCTCTCCCGATTTCTGGCCACGAAAAATGGGAGCGAGTGTCTGACCAGACCATGGCAAGTACGCCACCATCCTCCCTTCCCCTGGCCCTTGTTCCTGGGCAGAGCCACGCAGCCTGGCAGTCACCCCAGTGGGCTTGCAAACCTCCAGGAAAATGAGTCCAGAGGAGGAGAGGGGAGATCGAGACCTGGCCCCCAGAGTGAGTCAAGCATCCCTCTGTGCCCTCCTGAAAATGTTCCCCTCCAGGATCCAGCACTTCCCCATGGCCCACTGGGCTCATACCCCTGCCTGGTGCCCTCATCCCTTTGCTCGGTGAGGGTTAGTTTGCCCCAGTTCTGAAAGCAAAAACGTAGATGATATTTTTGCTCCCTTTACAGACTACATCCAATCCATAACTTACTCTCCAACTTTTTTTTTTTTTTTAAATACATTTTTCATGTCCCAGGCCAAATCAGCCCAATCAAGTCCAAATCCGTGAGTCAGTCCAGAAACGTATGTGGCCCTGCAACCGGCAAACATCTTCCACTCCTACCAGGGGCTTCAGATATTTCCAAAGTCTTTTGGCAGGCATCCTACGTGCAGGCCCAAGCCCGGAGGCTCGAGGTTCGGATGCCCCCAAGTTTCACCTGCCCTCAGCCATATGGCCACAGAAGCAAGTTAGGAAGGAGCCTCCCATTTCCATAAAGCCCCAGCACCTTGGCAGATACTAAACCAGGCCAGAAGAAGAGTTATCCCTGGGAATGCTTAAAGAAAAACTGCCTTCATAGACCCAGATACATGGTGTTTCCCCTGCCAGGTAAGTGTTCATGTACAGCGGGGCCTGCATTCTCCGGCGGTGAAGCCTGGGCAGCGTTCAGCACAAGCAGAGATAAAAGGCACCATTAGGGATGCATTTACTCAAAGCTGGAAAGGAATTGCTAGCTAGGTCCAATTGTGTCACCCCCTTTCCATCCTCCCCTCACTTTCCCCATGAGATTTAGCGGTTTCTAAATCAACACAGAAACCGAGTCTCCTTTCTAAGGCCCGGTTCTGAGCAGGGCCAACTCAAACCTTCAAAGAGGAGAGAAACCGATAATTGTCCCTTTCTATCCCAGTGGGATAATATCACACAACACGCGGCGTGTGCATGCAACGTGCAAATGACTGTGGGGAGGTTTCAAAAGCGCTCAGCAGGCACCAACTCCTCCCCACCGAGGTCGGGGGGAGTTTAGACTCGGAGCAGAAATCTGCCACAGCATTTAGAAAACCCCGACCCATAACCCCAAGTCTTGGAAGGCCTGGCCAAGGCAGCGTCGAAAGGGAAAATGGCCTGGATCGGATAAACAGCAGCTGCCCTCGATGATCCTGCAGCTGGTATTCCCAGGTTGAGAAAGGCTGCTCATTGCAAGTGCAGCGCAGGGGCTGTAAAGCCATGATCTACAGTGCGAATGCAGAACTATCTGCATAGTCTTGGTCGCTGGCCCCTGAGACCTGAAGAGATGGCCGCAACAGGGCCCCAGACCAAGAGAAGTGAAACCTAGGACAGTTTGAGCAGAGCTGAGATCAGGAAGGCAGCTGAGGGCAGCGTGTCGGATGAGCTGGCAGCTCGCAGTGCATTGGGGTGAGGAATCCTAGCACTTGGGGATCCACGGGTGTCGAAGCAGAACTGGAGCCGGGAGGCTTGGCAGCTGAGAGATCAGAGCCAAGCAAGAAGCTGAGAGGTGCCCTGGCCACATCACCGAGGGCGAACAGGACAGCTCGACCGGCTGGCGGGGACCTGAGTGAGGAGGGCACCTGTGCCAACCTGCTACGGAGAGGAGAACCGCGGCTCCCCCAGCCCAGCACCTCCCCGCGGCCTCACCTTGTTGCGTGCTTTGTACACGCAGGCCGTAGCACCTTGGCCCAAGACATCGTCCGTGTACCAGAGATAGTTCGGCGTGCTCTGCATTTCCAGCGGGACGGCAGGCTGCCTCCGAGCTGCGGAGCAGAGAGGAGAAAGCGAGTCTCGCTGGGAGGAAAAGGGAGGTTTTCACACGCGCCCCAAACATCATAGCTCTTGTTTCCTTCTCTCCTAAACCAGCCACAGGCTCAGAGGAGCAGCCTGGATCCAGAGAGAAACCTCCCCCAGCTCACAGCACTGAGCTCAGGCCCGTTCCCACAAGACGCCGAGTGCAACGCCTTCACACATGCACAGGACGTGTGGGTGTCACCGCCTGGCTAGGAAGCGTGACCTTGGGATTTCATGCCTGGGCCCCCTCCCGCGGAAGAGAACTGACCGAGCGAGATCTGACCGTACCCGGCAGAGGGCAGCAGCCCCCCGACGAAGCGAATCACTTAACCCATCCGATCCAGCCAGCACTGCTATCCAGCTCGCTGCTGCCACTATCAGCTGTCCTTGCTATCGGCTGATGTTGGCCCTTATCTTCCCTGCTCTGCTGCGCCTTGATAAAGCTCAGGAAAAAGTCAGCCTATTAACATACCTCCAAAAGCAGCCAAAAAGCCGCCTCCCTGCGATCAGCACGAGAAGGAAGGGCACAGAGGGATGGGAGGATACTGGGAAGCTGGACTCTCACCCCTGAGCCATGCAAGGAAATAAAACCTGCTGGGTAAAGAGAGGCCCCTCCTACCACCCAGGGGCTTACAGGATTGCAAAACCAGCCCTGCAAACCAACAAATGAAAGTCAGCTCCGGCTTGGAGAGGAAGCGCTCAGCTTCCTGCCCGCAGAGAAAAAAAAATTCCTGGTTTCAGCTATCGTGGCTCAGCAGTCCAACGGGCCCAGCCCAGCTCCTTTCAGCAGCAGTGGTGGGCTCTGGAGATGGGGAAACCCCCACGCGCATGTGATTCAGGTCTGAGAAGCAAATGTCACGGTGGGAAGCCTCACGTGGCACTGGTGGGTGCGAACGGGGGCAGGAGTGAGCGTGCCTCTGGCAGACGGAGGCCAGGGGACCAAATCCAACCTGGGATCCAGAGGCAGGCTTTGCACTTGGCCCCATCACTGCAACAAGATGAGTTTCCACCTGGTCGGGTGGGCCGTGGGAGCAGCATGTTCTGCCCCTACCCCTTTAGAGGGGGATATGCCCTGCCTGGCTCATCACGTCCAGCTGGAAGTTGCAGAAGCAACTACATTTCAGCAATAAGCCAAGCCCAGCTCCCTGCCCTCCTGGCTGGTGGCCAGCACCCGTTCACCAGTAAAGCTGTGCACAGGCTGCTCCCACGGCTGCTCCTCCACCGTGGGCCTACAGCCACAACGAGCCACTATGAAAATGAACCTGCAGTGCTCATCCTTGCCTCTGAGACTCGGGTTATTATTGCTTAAACCGCAAGAGCCCCAGATCCGGCAGGCTCTGCTTAGTCGTCCGTGGATACGTGGCAGCGTCGCACACGACTGCTAGGAAACCTGTGCAGAGATGCTCGGCGTGGGTGCAACAGGGATGCTAGCAGGCCATGCGAAAGCAAGCCAAGGAAGCGGGGTGGAGGCTGGCGGTCCAGCAGTACTATCAGGACAGCGCTCTTCCTGGTGCCGGCTCTAAAACTCTAGCCGTCGACCCAAATCCTGCCTCGTTCGTGGGAGGCTCGGCCCACCAATTCCAGTGGCTCCCTGCAGCACCCAGAAAAGGAAGAGGACATTGCTGAGCCATTCCTCACGCCAGCAGGCCTTGCGTGCCCTGGCATTATTCTTGCTAAGACCACAGCCCCAAACCAGGATGGGCGGTTTGAAAGCAGAACGGCTTTTCATCCCAATCAGGAAAGTCAGCGTGAGCCTGTCCTGGGGCCGGTCACGTTCACCCCATCTAGCAAACGCTTCCTGCGGCAGCTGCGAGCAGCACATCCTTTCTGTGTGTCACAGCCCTCCCTTCGCTCGCACGCCGTACGACATGAACGTGGGTACACGCGTGCACATGTACAGACACACACACACACACACACACACAAAGTGACTAAGGATGGTCCTGTATCCCCATATCAGGGTTTTCCAGACCCACCGGAGCAACCGCACAGGCTCCAAAAGGAGGAGCAGACCTTGGCTTTCACGCTAGCTCTTTGCATCTCTGAGACAGGCTCCAGACGGTGAAAAATTCCCACCCACCTGAAGACAGCAGCTGGCTCAGAAGCAAGGTGGGCAGTGAAAATCCTTAACCGTGCAGCCTGCCAGCCACGGTCCCGCAACGCAGCCTGGTGCCAGGGATCTCCAAGCACGGGCCAGGGCAGAACAAAGTTCGGGCTGAGACTTTCCGTCTGTTCAGACTTCCTGCTTTCTTTTTCTCTTAAAGGGACACTGCCCCTTTTTCCTCTAGTCTGAACACCCTGCGCGCATCCCCACGTGAACCCTTCATGACGCGCAATGCAAACCATTGTTTGCTGCGGGGGTGGATTTGCATAAAAAGGACCAAATCTTGTCCTCGTGGTCCCCTCCACCCATCCCACTGAAAAGAAGTCGGCATCTAGGACAGCGTGTTAGCATTTGAGTGCACACTGCACGCCCCCAAAACATCTCAGGGAGTTATTAAACTGAGGACAAATACTGCTCCCCTGCTCTTCACCACTTAGTAATATAAAACCCCATCAAGACAGAGCTGCACGAAAGGAAGGAAGGGGAGCTTACCAGCTACTGGGGTCCTTCGACACGCAGCATCCTCAGGCACACTCCCAGTGCCAAAGGCTCAGGCCCACGGGGAGACGGACGGTGGATACGGACTATAACTCAAAGGAGAACTAGTGATGTTATTTCCTTACGGCGTTCCCGAGGGCGCTGCTGTACAGAGAGGCCCAGAGGAAGGTTCATTTTGCAGACCGGGAAGAAGGGACCCTGGGTTGAGTTCTCAGTTTTGCACGAATGGACGCCCCCTCGGGTCAGCGGGGAACTCCCTTGGGTTGCTCTGGGCGTCAGGTTCCTATCTGTGCTGGGGAAACGATAGCGCCTTTGCTTTATATATTGAGAGCGTAAGCTCTCTGGGCCACGGACGGGCTCTCGCTGTGCACACGTGCAGCACCTACCACAGGGGCTTTCTGGGCAGTGCTGAAAACCAAGCCACAGACGGAGCATCCGACACACGGTCCTTCAAGAATTACCGGAGTTGTGCCCAAAACCACTCCGCTTATATTCGGAACGGCCCCCAAAACACGCTCCTGCCCCTCTCTCGAGCTAAACAACCTTCAGAAATGATCTGCTCCACTGCTCATGTGATCTCCGCCTGCTACAAGGCCATCAGCAGGTCCAGCCACGTTCAACTAAAGCCCCTACCCTGATTTTCCCAGGCAGGTTTCATTCACCCCACTCCCCTGGAGACTCCCCATGAACGGTGCACACTGGACGGGCTGGTTCTCCAGAGACAAAGATCTTGGATTCGAGCCGTTTACCTGGGACATTCAGACCCCTCGCGACGAAGAAAACTTCCCCCTTTGTTTCTGATCTCATGCCCTCTGCTCTGAGTTTATGGGCAAACAACAGTTAACGACAAGGAAGATGCCTCCTCCGCTAAGGAGTCTGAAGGGAAATTCCAAACACGATACCTGGCAATTTTCTCATGCAACCCTGCCCACGGCAATGTGATACGGACAAAACCAAGGCGTAACGCTTCACGCACTCGCCGACACACGCGTGACGAGCCCCAGTACCCATTTCAGGTTTGCAAACTGGTGCTTCTGCACTCAGCATCCAGGGATAAAGTCACATTTACATTGCTAAATTGTATGAGGATTGCAAAAGACTGGGAAGAACGGAGGAAAGCTATTGCTAACCTCAAAGGTGCCCTGACTGTCGGTGCAGCCTTGGCACTGACTGACATGGCTAAATGCACACTTCTGTGCTCAAAGCCTCCCTCTAACCAACACAGAGGGCTGTATGCAGCACTGGGGGAAAGCCTCGCACAACAGTGCTCCACCACACAGCAACAACATCCGCCTCGACCAGCATGTAAGCGCCTGTGCTGACACCCCGTCTCGTCCTTTAACCACTGGATTGACCTTCTGGCGTCTTGTGGGATCCCCAAGCCTACTGGTCAAGGAGCACAACCCCTGACCATGTGCCATGGCCAGGGCCTGACTGCTCCAAGGACTGACGTGTGGGCCTGGAAATCCATGCCAACGGTCACGTGATCCTCAATCGAGGAGAGAAGCCAGAACAATCTCCCTTAACGAGAGAGACTTCAAAACCATGTGGGTTTTGAGTTAAATGTGAGATAACAGATGTAAAAATGGATCTGTTGAAATGCGGGGTGGGGGAAGAAAAGAGTGGGCAAGATAAAAAGGAAAGCAGCAAGAACAAAAAGCAGCTAACGTCAGGTCAGGATGAGCCCTTTTTCTTCGTAAGCACAGCTCCCCAAAGTCACAGCCAGCAGAGGCGTAACTGCTCCTGGAACCGGAGCTGGCACCAAACTACTTTTCCAGTCCCAAACCCTACAAAGTTCAAGGAAACTACAATTCAGGGTAGAGGCTTTCTCCTAATCCATTTGTACAGCACCTAGCACCAGAAAGCTCTGCCCCAGGACAGAGCTCCTGAGCACACAATAAGGCAAATGAGCAGCCATGTCCGGATCCAGTTCAGACTTTTATGCATATTCCTACGGGATGAATCCAGGTCCTTCAAGCTGTGGGAAGGCTCCATCCTGCGTCTTTGCCCTCGCTCTGCCTTTCATTTCTGAGAAGCAGGACGCGTTTGGTAACATCTTGTATCAGACCAATTAGAGAGTCGGTCGAAATGCAATTAAAAAGGGAAATTACCAAATCACTCCTGTCGCCGGCCTCGTCCTGGACAGTCGCAGCTCCAACAATGCTACAGCATTACTTTGCCCTTCAAAACAGTCATTTCTTTCCTGCGAGGAGGAAAAGCCCTGCTCAACTCTGGGAGGAGGAAAGGAAGGAAACACATGTCACTGCGGGACCAACGCTGACCATCTGGAAAGAGGAGACTGGGGGGACAGACTTGCAATAGAGGGGCGAAAAGCCTGTCTTAAGCATAAGGCACCCATTTCAGAGCTTCCAGTTTGGCAGGACGAGGTGTCTCATGCTACCAAGACTGCACCTCTGACAAAATTAATGCTCCACAAGATGGCAACACCGCCCCAAAAATCAAGGCGGAAGGGAAGCCAGCGCTGTCCTGCTGCCGTCAACCTCCCAACCCAGGCTCCGAGGGGCAGGGCAGCCTGACAGCTGTAGCGCCCTTCCTCTCGGACACAATAAAAGCCAGGAGCGGGTGACGGAAATGAAGCCACTTTAAGTGCGACATCCGCTCCCGGGTAGGGACCAGGCTGCACCTCCGCTCCCACCCAAAGCCCGATTTGGATGGCAGCATCAGATGTCTAGATCTCTGACCGGGGGCAAATCTCATACCGAGAGGACAACAAGGCCCAGTAGCAGGCAGGAGGTGACAGTGGGCTGTGAAATAGCCATGAGGACCCAGGGCCTGGGCTTCCCTCTGCTATTGCAGCTTCCATGAAATGCAAGCACGACAAGGCTGCTTTTCCTACCACCTGGACAGGACCTCAGCTACTCGCCCCAACAGCTTGCCCCTCTGCCTAACCATGCAGTTGGAGTGCTGCTAGGAAGCTCTCACCAGCAATTTCCATCTGGAAAGCACCTTAACAGAAAGAATTGAGCCTCACCTCACTCCCAAGGAGCACGTCCTTTTTTTTTGTTTGTTTGTTTGTTTTAATAGATGAAGGAACCGAGCGCTGTTCTCAAGCCACAGAACCATCACGGCAAAGAGAAAGCAAATCCCCTTCGCAGGGGCACGCAGGCTCTGTAGAAAAGGGGTGCTATTGCGATGCATGCAGGCACACGCACGTAGACGTGCAGGGCTAGAAACAGCCAAGATTTCCAATCAATGCTTCCTGGTGACCTTGGCTATAAATCAAGAGAGACAGTGTGGGCTGGGGGGCGGGCAGGGAAGCCATACAAGATGGAAAAAAAGTGTCAAGCCCATTTGAAGGGGTGATGCTGCCGTGCCGCTGTCACAAAGAGGGGGGGTTGGCTTTAGCACACTGCCTCCAGCACACACACGAGGCCGGATTCTGGTAGCGGCTTAGTCCATCAACAATCCCATCCCGTTGTTTTTGGTGAAATATTTGTAACGGGACGGCCCGCTCAGCAGGATTTGCTCAGGAGGGAAACTTCAGCAGCAACAAGCTCAACGCAGGGTGCGGGGCAGGTCTTGCTGCTGGGGCTGCGCTGCGCACACCTCCAACGACAGCGTAGACGGACCCGGCACGCAGCGATGCTACATAGCACCCAGGCGCGACATCGGCCCTGCAGCTCTTGGCGGCCTGTGTCGCTTCAATGGCCACTCGCAGGTTCCCAGCTTGGAAACCCCCCTGCCCCCTGCCTCTCCCAGGAGCTCCAACAGCCTTTGACTTGTAATTTACCAATTCATTTCTTTTTCAGTCAAAAAAATAAATCAAAGCGCTGGGGGGATTCGACCCCCTTGTTGCCCGAGTTGGAACAAATGATCTGATTAAAAGGATTTAGGATATTACAGCCTCCGAGTCAATGTCGTCGGCCGGCAACAGCTAATGGAAAATCTAAAATCATTTTTTATCTGTGTATCCGTTACCTCTCGGCTTCCCATTACACGCTCAGAGACCAACGCCGGGCGCCACCTGAGCCCCCTGGAAATCGATGGAGGCTAATTGAAGATTCATAAAAGTGAAAGGGATGTTCCATCCAATCGGCCTGTTGATTTATTGAAGAGGACTTTAAGGGTAAGGAGCCCGATTACCTTAAAAGCCTCAGCTCGCGGTAGGGAGTCAGATCCTGTCGGGAGTGCAGAGCCCCCGGGTCCCAGCACGGCTTGGCTATGGCTTTGGAAGGCGCAATACTTCCCGGCCTCTCACAGAGGAATGACAGGACTGGGTGTAAACAGGATGCCGCTAGCTCGCTTGAAGGGCTGGAGATCTTCTAGACACTTGTGGGCCTGATCCCATCCACCGACATCGAC